CCACGTCCTGCCATCACTCTGATCATAAGAAAGTGAGAGTTTATGAGTCAAAACAGACCTTTATAAATAACGTATCATAATACAATTTTCACAATATATAGTATTCACACAAATACTTTAGATTTACACAAAATAGTTGTCATAAAAAAAATTTCTCAAATTTTGAGATATTCGCACATATCTTCCACACTCATACTAGGAAATACTTACGGACTCTATACATGAATACTAAGAAACCCTAACCTAGCTCTACGACTCGACACAGGATGATCCTAAGGATACTGGAACTAGAGCTCTGATACCAACTGTGACGCCCCTGGGTTCACACAAGGCTGCAGTCCAAGGTGAAACCAAGAATGTCAAACATGTCATGCACCACACCGTGCAATAACATATTTCACCATTACAATTAACATCTCTCTAGTAGAGTCAACGACAGGTATAGGTACAAAAGCAAGTAAAAGATAATACAATAAATAACTGATGAAATGATAGTGATCACATTAATATCTCATCATCCAACATACAGAAATACATAGTCAATGTCTGAATAGATAAACTAGAGTTCTCAACAAGAATCAAGTACATAAGGTCTGAGTAAGAGAACAAGGCACACCGCCTTTACAACATCTAGAATATAGTCCTCAAATATCTCACAAAGTCTACAGTGGAGCTCCAAAAATAGAATATAGCTAAAGAAAATAGATAGCTGAAGCTAAAGGGCATCGCCATCAACCTGCGACTCTCCGGGCACCTGGCTCGTTACCTGAAATGGGGAGGGACAACGAGCGTCAAAGCGCTAGCGAGTAACATCACAACCAACCCCAAGGGAACAGGGCTCGCTGTATAAGAAAATACAGATAATACATAATAAGTCTAAAATCATTGATCTTAACTAAAGTGGATTTTAGTATTTAGAAATTTACAACACGAGCATAGGTACGTCGAGCGAAATAATCCAAACAATGAAACCCTCATGTATATACCTTGTATCTCAAATTGTAAATCCCTAAACACCAAACCCGAGGTTCTAGTAGTACAGGAACAATAATCAAAGAAAAACAACTCATCTCAGAACATAAATACAGTGTCATGTCATAGCCTACATAAGTATCATGTCATAACCTACATAAGTATCATGTCATAACCTACATAAGTGTCATGTTATAAACTCATGTGAAAAAGTCATATACAGGGTTAAGAAATATGTCCGATACATGAAATACATATAGTGATTTCCAAACACATGGAACAAATGGGCAAATGTCCAACACGAGGACTAAAATGGATTATAGTCCAACACGAGGACTTCTAGAGATTATAGTCCAACACGAGGACTGTGCAACTGTGAAAATATCGCTGAGATACATAGAGAAATCTACTTATACAAATTCACTCTCGACTAAGTGTGCAAATCCTAAACGATACCCTCAGGTCATCTATCATGCATAGATACATAGTAAGACTGAAAACCAGAGTCAGATAATCGAGGCAAACTCTCGAACACGAGCAAAAGTATTCAGAACAAAAATTTTGCACCAGGCTGTGCGGCGGTCAACCGTCCCGGTCGACCGCGCGCAGAGCAGAAATGCACCGCTCGGCTACACGCCTCGCGGTCGACCGCGCAGAGGGCAGACGGACTCTGCCCTTCTGTGCGCTCAGCGGTCGACCGCCGCGTCCACCGCGGTCGACCGCGAAGCAGACAGAAGCCCAGTTAGGGTTTCTGTCAGCTTCGAAACAGATTCAAACATGATGATTTCTATGTTAACAAAATTTAACATTTCTAATATGTCATATAGCAGCAAACAACGAATTTAAACCTTTAAATAACTCATCACCAAGATCCTAGATATATATAAACATGATTTAAACAAAAAGAAAAGGGTATAGAACAGTAAAAACAGGTTTTTTACTTATGCTAAAACGTTTTCAGATCTAGATCTCATTAGTTAAAATCCTTTGGTGAGCTTTTAAAATCTGGAATACTTGATTCTCATATCATATGCCATAATGATCTATTATCTATACATAAAATATAATTTAGGCCTAATAAATCCGGATTAAAACTCAAATAAAGCATGAAAACAAAAGGGGGAGAAGTTGGGCGAGATGTTACTCGCCTTGGATGAGAATAAAACCCTAGATCTGTAGGAGGATGATCACTTTCGCTGAATCCCACCAAAAATCCGCTGCAAACCCTTTGAAGCTCCTCCCAAATCACCAAAGAATGAAAACTAGGGTTTGAGGGGAGAGAGGGGGCTAGGGTTTCTGTTTTCAGATGAAGAGAAGTTTCTCTCGGGTATAAGAGAATATATACTAACCCCACAACCCGACCCGAAACCCATTAAGACCCAAACCAGAAAAACAAATTGTCTGTTGTGCAGTCGACCGACGCGGTCGACCGCACAACAGGAAAAGAATTTCCTGAGTGCCCGACTGCTGTGCGGTCGACCGCCGCGGTTACCACTCAATTCCTCTCCCATATAAACGCTTGTTGGGTTCCCAAGCACTGATTATATATATATATATATATATATATGGTTATTTATCACAAAAGAATTATTGATTACTAATGATTCACATATATTCATTATAAAAATTACGGGGTTTTACAAACAACAACTTAGTATAGTTGTTCACATGCGCCGCTAGTGAGGTACCTCTGGACATCTAAAATCTGAAGAGTCTTCGCAGCAAGTGCAACATGTTCTCAACATTCTTCGTGAGATACTTGTTGTTAAGAATTTCCCACATCTTCATTGCAGACGTCACCCCAATCACATCATATTTCAGTTCCTGTTCCAAACAGGACCTGATCACCCCACACGCGTTCCTATTCATCTTCTCCCATATCGTCTCATCATATTTAGGTGGCCTCTCGTAGACCATGATGGTCTCTTCCAAATTCTGAGCATTGAGCGCATCTTGTACGTCGCTCATCCACAAACCAAAGTTGATTTTGCCATAATACTTCACCACACTAATTTTAGTATTCTAAAAACCAACTTGTATTGTACTCGCCATCGACTTGCTGCTTTCACTTTCTTCTCCCATTGCAAACTAACTCCAAATTGTAGAGAAAGAATAAATTTGATAGAAATTAGGAACCACCCAACTGAACCCTAGATCAGATTCCAAATAGATCTCCTATCCACACGAGGAAAACGAAATCTCCAACGGCAACACCTAATGCTATCTCCACCGAAGCCTAGAACTCCAAGAACCAAGCTTCACACAAGAATCTTCCTCCACCAAACTCCAAAACCCTAGATCTGAAATCTGGGTTCTAATACCACTTGTTGCGCGCAACGAAAATTTCGGCAGCACTTCGGCAGCACAACAAGAGAGTCAGGTCGCAATAGAAAATCTTGTTTCACAAAGGAAAAAATAACCTTAAGCAAAATATCTCAACCAAGTGAGATATCAGCTCTTCCTCTCATCAGTTCTAGGACTGACCTGTCGAGGGGACCTAAAAGCTATTACAAATCACACAAATAGCGAGACACTAATTTTACATGGTTCGGCAAATTGCCTACGTCCACGGGGCAAGGAGGGGAGATGATCTACAATTAGAGGGAGAGAATACAACTAGGGCTTACAATCACTCAATCTAAATCCTCACACAATCTCTCAAATCCCTCACACAAATATCTCTCTCAATGGATGCAAAAAAACTCTAACAAAGGCCTTCTCAAATCTTCAATTTTTACCTCTGCTTCGGCACCCTGCAGCCACCAAAGTTTATGTGCACCGAACTCTCCTTCACACAGCCGCAACCCCCTGTTTTCGTACTTGCTCTCAAAAAACCTAGGTTAGATTATGCGTTGGTATTTATAGCAACCAATCGGGTAATAGGGTGGGCTTGTGATTTATTCGCTGGGCTTGAGAGTTTTGTCCTCTGGCTTTATTCACGTGATGGCTTCATGCATGTGGTGGCCGTGGCCCCCACATTCACAGTTCACATCACTTGTCAATGTGCGATGGCTATGAAAGAAACATATAAATTTCTTTCATTATTTTTGACGCCAGAATTTTAAATCTCCTCCTTATTTGCTGTTAGTTGGATAATCACCAAATAGAATTATTATCCTTTTGAGTTATATGTATTCTGCTATGGTCTTCGCCTGTTTACCTCTGAAGAGAAACATAAACTTGTATAGGATTTAATAAGAAACGCGGATTCAGTAGGAGGAACATCTTGGCAATTTTAAGCAAGCGATCTTGTATTTCTTTGATATAGTCCGAATGTATCATATCCAGCATAGTTGTTTTCTCAGTGGCCAATTCCACGTCCGAACTTTAAACTATACAAATTGAACATGTTAAACTTGAACATGTAAAGCTTAAATATTCGAGCTTTCATTCCTTTTTCTAAAGGAGAACTTGCATCAAGGCCCCAAATACAAGATGTTGATGTGACCCAGCCTCTCCTACTTTGGCCCATGTCTAATAGCCCTTAAAAATCCTAATATATGTGACCCAACCCCTCTAGTCCAACCCATACCCGTGTCCTACCCTAAATCACGAAAATGCATCTTTTCTCTCTCCCGAGACGCGAATTCCAGATTTGGCAAGGGTAATGGGGCGCTCGGCTGTGATCATACTAGGGGATGGGCCCATAGTATTAAGGGGAAGCCCCACATGGTTGAAATTGAAGTAGGGAAGACTCGCACTATGGCCGCTAGCGGTTAAACCGAATGCGCTGACTAAGGTTCCCTCGTCACAAAAAAAGCCCTAGTTCAACTATGAAGTAAAAATGCATGCTCACAAGTGTTTTGCTTTTCATTTTGGTTTATGTTCTTTCAGAAGTTCAATCAATCTTATATTTTATTATTCAAAGAGAAAAAAAAAACAAAAAATTTCGTCTTTGAAAGGGAAAGTATAATTATAGTTTTATATATAGCGTTTCCTTCGTTAACGACAAGGACGTTGTAGTACAGTGGTGAGTATTACCCCCTGTCACGCCGGCAACACTTTTTATAGTTATAATTAAAAAAAAACGCCCCCAATTAATATTGAAAGTTTACTCTTTTGTCAACTTCCTCTGCAAAGATTTTCTCAACATTTTTTGTTGTCAATTTTTTTTTAAATAAAAATCCCCCCTGAAAAATCACCAAACCAAAACAATTGAAATTGAAAGTTCTCTCTTTTATCAAATTCCTCTGCAAAGATTTTCTCACTGTCCAAATATTTTCGCAGGTTCTTCTCTGTTCCGTCAGTCAGCTCTCCAACTGAACCCTAGAATGGGATTCGTCATCACCTTCATCTTGGATTGGGGCTTTTTTTACATTGAGCCCAGGTGAGTTGTGAGATTCATAAATCAACGAGGATGAGTCTCTCATTTTCAATTCATAAATCAACGAGGATGGGTTGTTCAATTCATAGTAAGGGAGAAGTTGTGAGATTCATCTCTCATTTTCATTTGATGTTACATTTTACTCTGAAATTTCAGCGGAGCGCAGGAGTTTCCCTCTCACTTGACTTTGACGAATTCCATTTCACTAGGAAATGGTGGAAGTTCCCCTCCCCTCCATTTGTTTTCGTGTGGAAGGCTTGCTGCTCTGTGAAACATGAGAACGGCGTACGGCAAATCCTTCCTTTTCCTCTTTATTTTCGTCCTCCTCTGCTCGTTCTCTCTTTCCGTTTCCAGAGACACCCTGACCCCAAACCAGCTCCTCTCCGGCGACGAGACCTTGGTTTCCACCCACGGGACCTTCTCTTTGGGCTTCTTTTCCCCCACCAGCTCAGAAAACAACCGGTACATCGGTATATGGTACACAACTAAAAGAATCCCGGGGCAGAGGGTCATCATATGGGTTGGGAACCGTCAAAATCCGGTCTCAGGTCCTACGGCAGTCCTGATGTTGACATCCAATGGAAGTCTCCTCGTAACTGATGGCAACTCTAAAGTCTTCTGGTCCTCGCCGTCGATGGTGGCCGTCGGAAAACCTGTGGCACAACTCTTGGACGCTGGCAATTTTGTTGTCAGGGATTCTCATGAGATAACCGATTCCAATAGTTTCGCGTGGCAAAGTTTCGATCATCCGACCGATACCCTTTTACCAGGCATGAAGCTAGGTTGGAACCTAACAAGTGGACTCAACCGTAACCTGACAGCATGGTCTAGCTCAGGCATGAAGCTAGGTTGGAACCTAACAAGTGGACTCAACCGTAACCTGACAGCATGGTCTAGCTCAACCGATCCATCCCCTGGTAACTACACCCTAGCGTAACCTGACAGCATGGTCTAGCTCAACCGATCCATCCCCTGGTAACTACACCCTAGCCTTGGACCTCCGTGGTGATCCCCAATTGATACTTTGGAATGGCCATATTCTGCAACAGCGGACCGGTCCCTGGACTGGCCTCCATTTCATCTGGCTCAGCAGTCAATCACCACAAACCCTAACTTATACAGATGCTCTTGTCTACCGTTTTGTTAATAATAAGGAAGAGGTTTACTTCAGCACAGGCGTGGTTAACAAGTCCACTATCACTAGGCTTGTTGTGAGCCCACAAGGGGTCGCAGAACGGTATATCTGGCTTGATAAGTCTCGCGTGTGGGACCGACTCTGGTACAGCCCAAGCGGCCCATGCGATGGGTATGCTGCTTGTGGCCCATATGGTTTATGTGATCCAAATGGTTATCCTATGTGCAGTTGCTTGCAAGGGTTTGAGCCTAAATCACCAGCAAATTGGGCTTTAAGATATGCTTCTGATGGGTGTGTCAGGAAGACCAAACTGGATTGTAGGAATGGGACTGATGGATTTGTGACTGTTCCCCAAACGCTTTTGCCAGACACAGTGAACGCGACTGTAAACAGGACAATGAGCCTGGATGAATGCCAAGCTGCCTGTTTGAGGAATTGTTCTTGCACTGGTTTTTCTAGTGCTGACATACGCGGGAGTGGAAGTGGGTGCATTATTTGGTCCATGGACCTAATGGACATTGCATCGTCCTCGGATGGTGGCCAAGATTTCTATTTACGTTTGGCTGCGGAAGACATAGGTAGTCACTTATGAACTACATTCTTCTCGTCTCTCGATAATGCTAACTCCCACACACATATATTATTTTTTGAGCGCTGATCAATCGAGGAAGCTTTGTTCTTAACCGATTTATGATTTGGAAATTAAAAGCTGCATTCTTCAGTGCATCACTGTTCTGTTTTCGTCTACTATTTTTATTGTTCAAGGCTCAGGTTCATGCCATATCCATCTGATGTATGAAACATTATATACATCAATTAGTCATCCCTTTTGGAAGCAGAGCCATTAGTTATTATATACAGGGAAAAGAAACTCTTGATTGAGCATTGTTGGTGTCTTGCAGGCTTAATATCAAGTCAATCTCATAAGAGCGGGGATGCAGCCTTAGCAGTATCGTTAAGTGTAGTCTTGGGGGTAATATCCCTGCTTGTCAGTGTTGCTTGTTATGCATGGAGGAAGTTGAAATGGACCAGAGGTATTTATTTCTTTCCATTGAACATTAAAATACTCCTCCTATCATATCACATAATACATAATTACATTGTGAACTTATAGTTTCAATAAATGCAAAAACTCTTTGTTAGGGAATGCTTTCGTTAAAGAAGATGATATGGAGCTGCCTCTCTTTGATTTGGTAGAAATTGAGGCAGCAACAAACAATTTCTCTAATGAAAATAAGCTTGGAGAAGGTGGATTTGGTCCTGTCTACAAGGTAAATTTCACATACTAATTGATTTGGTTCATTGATTTGGTTCTTCACGAGTTTACTATGGATATTTCAAAATTAGAAAATATGTTCGAAAGTAAAAGTTTATTCTATTTTCTTTTATGGTTCCCAATTAGGGAAATATAAGAGAGGGACAAGAAATTGCTGTGAAGAGACTTTCCAAGACCTCATTACAAGGTCTGGGCGAGCTGAAGACCGAGGTAATGTTAGTGGCCAAGCTCCAGCATAGAAATCTGGTGAGGCTTCTGGGATGCTGCCTTGAAGGAGATGAAAGGATATTAATATATGAATTCATGCCAAACAAAAGTTTAGATACCTTTTTGTTTGGTAATTGCTTCCCCTCTATTTCGTCCATTATTCATTCTCTCTTTTTAAATATATATGTTTTGCCAATCATCTCACCATATGCTTGCATTCTTGTGTCATTTTGTTAGAATCCTTTTTGGAATATATGTTCAGGGCACTACTTAAGTTTTCATTAAAAAGTTTGTTTAATTAAGCTGTCTGTAGTCGATATTCGTCCAAACTAGTAATAAATTTCACGGAATTTTAAATTGAAGTTTTTCGCGAAATTCATAGACGCCACTGACAATTCCTATGTGCGGGTAGATGTGCATCCAGTTGTGAATGTGTGGGTGTGTGTATGGGTGTGCATATCTGTGTGCATGTTCAAGTTCGTGTTTTGCATGCACGTCTAGGCTGCACAGATACGGGTGAGGGTGCGGACACGGACACGGGATATGGAAAATTTATAAAAGGCTGGATAATGGGACATGGATACACACACATGCACATATATATGCATATCTATAATATTCACCTTAGATCAAACATTGAATTAAAATATCCATAACATTTGTATGTTTCTTTTACTGTCTATAACAATTAAGAATCATATTAAATCAAACTAGAAATTAAGGTTTAACAACAAAAGTATAGTTTTGATCGCTTGGGACTCGATGGGCATTTTTCAAATCTTAAGTAATGAATAGGTTATTGCGTTCAAAAACCTATTGGTTTTGCGCTTGATATATCCAAGAAAATAGTTTAGGGTTATAAGTAACAGAGGAAATCGGGTTTTGCTTTGAACTACGTGTACATGACATGTCTGCGGTGAACCCGTGTTCGACACATGTTTGGCACAGATTTGCATCCAAAACGGATGTTTGAGTAACCTAGATGCACGTGAACCGGTATGTGTGTGAATAGGTGCGCAAAGAGATTCAAATTTCAACTATTAACCAATTGTGAACACACAAGAAATTCTATTATTGAAGATCGGTGGTAACAACTGCGCCTCCTGAATATGCAGAGCACCATATAATTAAAAAATGGACATTCGGGCTAATGTCTCTTAAATGTAAGTTTTGACATTTGTCTTAATCATAATAACATATTAACCTACAAAACTTGAAAATTTGAATCTAGCAATTTATATGACACATAATTTATATTTAACGTTAGATGTCATACCTTTATTTTATTTCAAAGAAATTATAGATTGTGATGCTTGTTCACTCTAATCTCCAATCAATAATCTTGATGGTTGTCTTTTGTCATTTGGGCATTTGGACTATAGTCCTTCTATTGATAGTTATCTAACTAAGATGATGAGTGAGGAGGTAAGGGAAAGTAAGATCTTTAGCTATTGGACTCTGGAAGAATCCATTTTTCTAGGTTGGTTGATTAGTTGTCTGGTCAAAATTACATGGAGAATATATATGACCTCTACTTTGATCACAGTTTTACATCATCAAATCTCAGTTAGATAATCTTCATTTATCATATGGAGTCTTGGACTTCGAACGCTAGTGTTGATGGTTTTGATTAGTGGAAAGACAAAGGACAAATGGGAGGAGCTCTAGCTATGGATTTTTTTGGCTAATTTATTTGGTTGATAACTTTAAACAACACTGAAATGCGTATAAGCTTTTAATCCAAGCCCTAGTCTTGCTCCATAAAATCCTAGCTAGACGGGTTCCCTATGTCTTCAGGTTGATTCTTCCTGAAGTTTCCTAGGTATTTCTGTCATGAACCCGTATGCGTATTAGACACGTACCCGACACGTACCTGTACTCAAATTTCATGGACACTCCTTGGATATATGCATACATTTATTCAGACATTTACTCAATTATATGATGTATGCATAGTTTGAAACACTTGTCAAATACTTCTTGGACGTATATCCTATACTTCACATCCATTTCTTAAAACTTTTTAGACCTGGGTCGGGTTCGTTTCAGCCCATATACAGGTTAAAAATTATGATTTTAAAGGAGGTGTTTAGTTCAAAAGCAAGTAATTTCTAATTTAGAAAAATTAACATAATAAAAGAAACTTAAATGTAATAGGAATTGTAATGATCTCATGTGTTTCTAATTTAGAAAAATTAACATAATAAAAGAAACTTAAATGTAATAGGAATTGTAATGATCTCATGTAAATTATTAATTTCAATACATATATGTAGAAAGAAACTTAAATGTAATAGGAATTGTAATGATCTCATGTAAATTATTAATTTCAATACATATATGTAGTTGTGTCCTTGTACAGTCCATTTTACAATTTTTCCATATCTCGCGGCCATACTTGCACCCCGTACTGGTACCCATACGTGTTCCCATGCAACTTAGATGCATAGCTCAAATGATTTTTATTTTAGTACTTTACCACTTTTTAGTTTCCTACCTTTCAATCACATTTTAATTGCATAAATGGATAAAATGCATCATTTCCTTTTAGTTGCATACAAAAACATTACGTCTCAAACTGAGAAGATTAGAAATGATGTTTTCCGGAAAGCTTTCTTTCTAAAGACGACCACACACCCTTTAGTCTTGGTATTTCTAACTTCGATGAGATTTTGGTCAGATGAACAAAAAGTGGCATTATTGGATTGGAGAATGCGATACCAGATCATTTTAGGAATTGCACGAGGACTTCTCTATCTTCACCAAGATTCGAGATTCAGAATCATCCATAGGGACCTTAAAGCTGGAAACATCCTTCTCGACAAAGATATGATTCCCAAAATATCAGACTTTGGTTTGGCCAAACTTTTTGGAGAAAATGAGACGGAAACACAGACAAGGAGAGTAGTCGGGACATAGTAAGAGATATCCATCTTTGATAGTGATTGTTCAACTTAGTTTCAGACTTTCAGTTACCACAATACCTAATTTAGTGTTTGATTTGAATGTAGTGGTTACATGCCTCCAGAGTATGCATTGAATGGGATCTTCTCAGTGAAATCAGATGTATTCAGCTTTGGGGTTTTAGTTTTAGAAATCATTAGCGGAAGGAGAAATAAAGGGGTATATCTCTCTGCGGCCGAGGAATATCTCTTAGGAAAGGTAAGTACAATTAGCTACATCTAATTATTGTCGATACATGGCTTATTTCTGGTTTTAATTCTTCCAGGCATGGACATTGTGGAAAGAAGGTAATAGCTTGCAACTAATTGATGCGTCATTGGATGCCTCAGTTTTTATGACTGAAATTCTAAGATGCATGAAAGTGGGGCTTCTTTGTGTCCAAGAGCAACCGGAGGATAGACCGATCATGTCATCCGTTGTTTTGATGTTAGGCAGTGATCATGCTCTTCTGCCAGAGCCTAAACAACCTGGTTTTATGGCAAGGATATCTCCTACAGGGAGTCCATCTCTAGTGAAGGAAAGCTCCAGTATAAACGATCTAACACTTACTACGTCTTTAGGTAGATAGTTGTTACAGTGTTTGTTACATGGGTCTGTTAGTGGTATGACTTTTATTCCAAGTTCTCGTCTTGTGATTAATTATCTGGGTTTCTTTTCTCTGACAATAATAAACTCCCCTATATCATTGCTGATGTAGCGAGCTTGTTTTCTTTTATTCTGACATTGACGAATCATCTCTACAAAGATATTCAACTTTTCCAGATAAAGCAAATTGGAAGCACTCTACAGTTCAACTTTCTCCATGAGATATTTTGCAACAAGTCATATAATTAGAAGCCCCTTCGTGAATGGGCACCTTCTTTTGGTTTGTTTTAATGGTGTAAGATTGATGTAAAATGTCAAAACACGATCCATTCAAACCTTGGGGCTCATTTGTCATATGGAACAGAACCCTTTAGGCTACTCTGCACAGAGTGATCTCCTTTGTGAAGAACCTTTTGATGGTCGATTCATCAATGTGTTTTTATTTTGATAGACCTGACTTAACATTGCTATTTCCAGATATTGTTATGCAAATTCTGTTGGTTACTATTTCGAACAAGCTAAAATGAGAAGTCTTGCTATTTCCAGATATTACTATTTCCAGATATTGTTACCCCTCCACTTCCAGGGACTCCTACCCCTACCACAAATCTTACCGATGGAAATGTCTTGCTTTCATCTACCGGAACTTTTGCACTGGGATTCTTTACCCCTGACAACTCCAACCCCAGCAACAGATATATTGGCATATGGTACAACAAAATACCAGGACAGACCGTAATCTGGGTGGCAAATCGCTTTCACCCAATTAATGGTACCACTGGAATCTTATCGATTACCAAAAATGGAAGTCTTGTTATTACTGCCTTTCACCCAATTAATGGTACCACTGGAATCTTATCGATTACCAAAAATGGAAGTCTTGTTATTACTGCGGGTGGTTTCCCAATCATCTGGTTATTTGTTTCGACGAAACAAGCTACTAATCCAATAGCCCATTTATTGGATACTGGTAATTTTGTTGTTGCTGACGACACTGATTCTAACAGCATAGCATGGCAGGGCTTTGACTATCCAACTGATACTTTGATCCCGGGCGTGAAGGTCGAATGGGATGCTAAAAGTGGTCTGAATCGCAACCTCACTGGATGGTCAAGTTCTACAGATCCGTCACCTGGAATATACACATTAGCAGTCGACCTCCATGGTGATCCTCAATTGATATTTTTGGCTGGTTCTGTCCGAGAGTGGAGGTCTGGTCCCTGGATTGGAAGAATACCATTCTATGACAACGATTCCATGGACTCATTTTCATTCACTTTCATTAACAACAAGAACGAGGTTACTTACACGGCTGATATGGTGAACAATGCTACGCTGACTAGGTTGGTGGTGAATCCATCTGGGCTCATACAAAGATTAGTATTGCTTGATTCTGGTGAATGGGGTCAGTATCGGTATTTACCAGCGACCCAGTGTGACCTGTTTGGTGTATGTGGGCCCAACAGCCTGTGCTACATTGATACCTTACGAGCTTGCAGTTGCTTGCCGGGGTTTGAGCCCAAGGCGCCGTATGACTGGGCCTTAAAGGGCTTTACTGGTGGGTGCATTAGGAAGACATCATTAGACTGTAGGAATGGAACTGATGGATTTGTGCCAGTGCAAAGGACAGTTTTACCTGATACGGTGCAGGCAACGGTGGACATGAGTATGAGCTTCGATGAATGTAGGGCAGAATGCTTGAGGAATTGTTCTTGCACAGGTTTTGCTAGTGCTGATATCCAGGGGTGTATTATCTGGACTAGTAACCTTATGGACGTGCAAATGTACAACATGGGTGGACAGGAGTTCTACCTGCGGTTGGCAGCAGCAGATGTAGGTATGCACTCTTGTTGCTTGTTTTCATATGTTATTTATGTTGGGAATTTACCCGCTGGGGCTACGCAAAACCCCTAAGATAGCAGAAACGCAGAATAGAAAAAGTACACCAAGATTTAACGATGTTCAGCAACTGCCTACGTCCTCGGGAGCCACACAGTAAATTTCTTATGTAATCTAACAAGAAATTACAATTCAAGAGCGAATCTCAAACTTGAGATTCCTCAATAATAACAATTATTACTGTAGCTACAGTATGATTCTCTTTCTTCTTAAATACCCCTCTTAACTTCTTTCCCCCTTTCTTTAACTTCCTTCTTAATGTCTCCCCTCAAAATTACGGTTGAGAGCTGGAGATGAAAAACGAAATAGAGAGGGAGAAAAAGGGGATCCGCCGCCAAAGGGATTTCTGAGATCGTGAGAGAGGAGTAGCAATCTCGGCCCATGGGGTTTCCCTTTTATAGGGAAACCCTAGATGAGCTATCGACAGACTGTCGACAGCCTAAAAATCTGCCACGAGCTCGCCTGTCACGAGCACCTCGACCCCGCCTGCTAGCTATGAGCCCGCCTGTGAGTCAATCTCGCCTGCAGCTGTGAGGAACTCGCCTGCACGAGAAATCGCCAGCCACGAGAAGTCGCCTGCACGAAGAACTCGCCTGCTCGAGAGCTTCGCCTGCATCTGGTCGCTGACAACCTCGCCTGAAAAATCTCGCCTGCAAGGTTTGATCTCCATACTCGACTCATCAATCTCCCACTTGGAGATAAAACCGTCGTCAGCAGGCTATCTCATCAAGCTCATCCTTCTGTGTGGCTCCGCCCTCATCACCTATGCATGAAGACTAACTGAAGTTACGCACAACTCCAGTTTCTGAAGGGTCACCGTCTTTGTTAACATGTCTGCTGGATTCTTCTTGGAATCTTCTCCAGTTTCAACACGTCATTTTCCAACAGGGATCTGATGAAGTGGTACCGAAGCGCAATATACTTCGTTCTACAATAAAATGCGGAATTCTTAGCCAAGTGAATCGCACTCTGACTATCGTTATGCAGATCATTCTTCTCCTGTTTGAATCCCAGCTCTGTTAACAAACCCTGAAGCCATATCATCTCTTTACTGGCTTCAGCCACTGCAACATACTCAGCTTCTGTAGTGGACAGAGTGACAATCTTCTGTATCTGTGACATCTAATTAACAGCTGTAGTTCCGATAGTGAATACATAGCCGGTGGTGCTTCTTCGGTGATCGACTTCACCTCCAAAGTCTGCATCTACGTACCCTTGCACTTCTACCTCTCCCTTACCAAAGTACAAACACTTATGTGTGGTGCCTCGTAGATATTTCAGAATCCACTTGACCGCTTCCCAATGAACTTTTCTAGATTCGATATAAACCGGCTGACCACTCCCACTGCATGGTCAATGTCTGGTCTCGTACAGACCATTGCATACATTAAACTTTCGATAGCTGAGGCGTAAGGAACCTTAGCCATACTCTTTCTCTTCTTCTGACTGAGGAGACTGATCCTTCGATAGGCGAAAATGGCTGGCCAATGGTGTGCTCACTGGATTGGTGTCGCTCATGTTGAATCTTTGCAAAACACGGTTGATGTACTCCGTCTGAGATAACTGCAAGAGACCTCTCTTCTTATCTCTCGTGATTTGCATTCCAAGGATCTTCTTCGCTGGACCTAAGTCCTTCATGTCAAACTCCTTTGACAGCTGCTGCTTCAAACTCTTGATATCCTCCATATCTGCACCTGCTACCAACATATCATCAACATATAACAGTAGGATGATATAGCTGGACTGATATCTTTTGAAGTAGCAACAGTGGTCGGCGTTGCACTTCTGGAAACCTTCCTTGTGCATAAAGCCGTCAAACTTTCTGTACCACTGTCTTGGGGCTTGTTTCAGGCCATACAAGCTTTTCTTGAGTCTGCACACCAGGTTCTTCTTCTTTTCTTCTGAGAAACCTTCTGGCTGATGCATGTTTATCACTACAAGAAATTACATCTTTAATGAAGGGATTTTCCTTCGTTAAAGAGCTGAAAACCTTCGTTATTGTATGCTAATGACGGGGAAAAATCCCTTCATCACCCGTCGTTGAAGCCCTCTTCGCTAAAGGGTCACGAAGGGATATACTACCCGTCGTTATAGAGTCTATAACGACGGAACATATTACCGTCATTAATATTTACGACGGTAATTATCACCGTCGTTACTATCAGTGACGGGGATATTTTCCCGTCGTTACCATCAGTGACGGGATATTTCCCGTCGTTACCATTAGTTACGGGGATATTTTCCTGTCGTTATAATTAGTTACGAGGATATTTTCCCATCGTTGAAGACTAATTAATGACGGTTGGATACCGTCATAAAAGTCATCATAATGGGTAATTAGTAACCCATCAAAGACGGTGTTTTCCCTTCGTTGATGAACAAAATACGGTTTATAAAACCGTCATTGTAGACTACAAATTTCTAATATATATTAATAATAAATTTTTCATTCATAGGCAACTATCATATTATTCTCAACCTGACACTAAGATTCACAACAAAAATATATTAAAAATATCCAATAATGAATAAGAGGGAAAATAAAAATTCCATTCATTAATAACATCAATAAATAAAATTCCATCATTCTCAAATATTCAATACTAATAACAAGAGTTAATATCCTAATTGTTCCAAAGAAAAATACATGAAACTATCAAAAGCAAATTAAAGTGAAAGTTACAGAAAGAAACATATTTTCATATCTAATCAATGTAAAAAAGAAGACTTGAGCTACCCCCTCTCCTAGTCTTGCATATGGATAGCCTGAAAAATTTAAAAAAACACATAATTAATAAATATCAATTAAGCAAATTATCTTATTAAGTAAAAAAATAAGGAGAATCATTTCTAGATCATCATTATGCAAAGGGATTTTGGAGAGACTAGCATGCCATTGAGCATGTGACTTGTTTATAATAACCTGCAAGTTAATCAAGAAACATAGAGAATAAAGAAACAAATAATCCTGAACAGAAAATCTACCACATGCATATACTCTACATAAACGAGTAAACTCAAGGAGATACTTGGTTCCAACTCGCCATGGAAGTTTTTGAAAAAAAATCTGTAGGAATAGGAGATACATAAAATTGTATCATTTATGAACAAGCACTTCCATTTCATCAAAGTATGGATCAACAAAAACTAATGTTCCAGAAAGTTCAATTACAATTATGAGAATAGTCAAAAGTTCTAATTCAACCATTTTATTTGTATGTAAATGCCAGAAACTTCGTAGTTATGGAAGATAAGAATAAAAATTTCCAGGAACCATTCACAATGTACTGAGTATCAATGTGACAAAAAGTTGAAAACAATATGCTAAGAAAAATATAATTTATTATAAAAATCTAAACGATACATAATTAACAAGATTGTCTCCTGTTCAGGGAAAAGGCGTTGCCTTACCAGTCCAGAAAATTTGAGCATCATAGCTGACTTCTAACTCTTTCATGTTATGCCAATATATATCATGAAGCATAGAATTTCAAGTGAAGCAAACCAGTCATGGACTTGCACAGTGTGTATGTATAATCTCCATATTTATGGGTTCCTTAGCTTAATTCGTTTTCTTCTATTGTTTATTTTGTTCTTGTTAAAGAAACATGGATAGAAAAACAATCAATAATATAGTACCTGTTGATGTTGCACGGGATGCCCATTCTTCAAGTATGGAGTGCTCAAGAGCTAAAATCATACAAAATATCAAGAATTGAGAAACGGAAGTTAATTAACTGATGCTGTATCAATCAGCATATAATAACAAAGTTAATTAACCAAGGAAAATGAAACTAAAAGATGAAATAAGAAGGAAAATGTATATCACCTTTCTAAAAGGCGAAACTAGTTGTTGGAGTGTGGTGATTATGTCCCCTAATTTCTCTTTTCTAACCTACAACCATAAAAACCCTAAAAGCTATAATCAATAATTTTAAAGAAAAGGGAAAAAAAAGATCAAAGCTGCAATCAATTGAAATCTACACAAAATCTATCCTTACTTTAAAGGTTGGCAAAGGCGATGGTGCTTCTACTCGAGGCTTTTACAATGCAGGCTCACTCCCACTGCTGCTTCCCCTGCATCCACTCTTTTTCTGTACGCTATCCAAATTCAACTAAAAATTCACCAAATTTAAAAAATATAAGGGGAGAAAAACCCAATTCTATTCTTGAAAGAACCCTAGAGTTTAAACAAAGTACCTTAGCAGGCTTCTGTTCAAAAACTGGCATCACGGATGGATTATATCCGAAAGCTTAATATACGATACAACAAGTTTCCCTATGTATCTGTTTTGTTGAGATACAAATGAAAAAAAACCTTCAAGCACTTTGTGAATCAAGTGGATCATACCTTGATTGATCTCTTTGAGAAGTGACATGGGTCCACAAACGTTGCCTCAAGCACTGCAAACTAAACCTTAAATAACTTCCTATATGTTAAATCAAATCATTGGGTATTCTGAGCTATAAAAATAACCTGCAATGCATAAAACCACACCACCTAGTGAGCTCTAATTTGCAATGTCATAAACTTAAACATGTAGTAAGGGGAAAGAACTACAACAACATGGTGATGCCAGAGCAAAATGTTGTACGCACCAACTCCGCTGATGATAAGAGCCACACTATAATAATAGGTGCAAACAAGAAACCAATTATATGCGTCCCCTGATATTGCAATATGAAGAGTTCAATTACAAGGCACAAGCAATAGGAATTTCAGAACCTGGGAAATAGTTAAGAGATAAAAATATTATCTCAAGTGAAGCAAGTTCAAATTCAACAAAAGGAGTAATCAGATCTTGTTGTATTTAAAACTATGTGATGCTATTTTTTACATAGGATCCCAAATCAATTTCATAGGTAAAAAGAAAAAACATAACGAGAAAATGTGTGCTAACGGCTAGTAGAAGAGGGGAAAAAACATGTAAGGTGTGAAGTAGCGTTCAATTTGTAGGATTTTATACATACAACTATCGATTGGCTCTTTCATGTATCCTTAACATGTGTAGGTCGTAGTCCTACTTCTGAAATGCATTTATGACTGAATTCAGTACAGGGTACCTATATTCAAAAACTGTTTATAGTGCAATTAAGCAAGTCAAAATTACAAAAAACTTGGAGCTACATCAGAAGTTAATGCTCATTTGCTTCCTACAAACACGCTACATCGCATGGTTTTAAAAATCTCGCCATTCAATTATCTTAATGTTTTAATTACAGATTTAAGGATATCATATGACGAGTTTATTTTCAAAATAAATCTTATATATAACAATTAACTTAAACAAATTTCCAGAACTACAATGCAGTTAATGATGTTTCTATATTCAGCTTAAAGCAATCGACTAACAAAAAATAGAATAGTTTGAGTAGCGAAAAGTAGATAATCGACAAGCAATAATCCAGATTAACCAAAGGCACCATGAAATCAAAAGACATATAATATAACTAAAAAGAAACTAGAAGATGAAAAATTGTCCATACTCACCCAAAATGTCTTTTTTCAAATGATGAGATATTGTCTATTTTCACTTCTAATTCTCACCAAAGTTCCCTCTCTTTCCACCAACTGATAAAAATTCTTACAACCAAATCTTGCTAATAAGAACTTGAAATTGGTGTTTGTCACAATAAAGAATTCAATGTCCCCGCATTTTTTTAATTGGGTGAAATGAAAATTCAGAGAAAGTCAACTTATCTAAAGTAACAATTTCATCATATTCATCAACCAAAATAATACAAGACCTGTGCAATCCCTCAACTTTGAGACAATTTAATACGAAATATAAATTAGTCAGGAAAATTTAAAAAAAAAAATTGTGTAGGTTTTCTCCTTTACTAGGATGAATGCTATAAATTCATACCCAGTCAAGAATTAAATAAAAAGCTACATCAAAATAGTACCTCAAGGGTTGTTGACCTTGTGCCGTTTGGCGGTGGGATCTGCATGATGGAGAGCTTTTGATGGAATCACATTCAAAGGAATCCTCAAATAACTACAATTTCCACAAAAATCATCACCAAAACAACAAAAGAATGACTTGCATCAAAAATCAAAACCTAAGAGAAATAACAAACAAAATCAAACACCTGGTGTGCAAGAAAAATACCTTGATATGGATAAATCTGTTAAACCTTAAGCAATTGATCCTAATCTCCTCCTCCTTTGATCAAAATGGAGACGATTGATCATGATCTTCCTTCAAGTCGAACCATTAGTCGGCGGTCAGTGAGGAAGAGGGTTGACAGTCAGTGTCGATGAGGAGTTAGGGTTTGAAGAGCCGGAGATGGCGGTGGACATTGATGATGATGATGATGATGATGATGATGAGGACGTAGACGCCGTCGATGAAGGGGGGATGCGGCCGGCGACAGGGAGCAGGTAAGCTCAAGGTTTGGAAGTTTTAGAGAGAAGAGGGATGAAAATTTTGAGAGAGATTTTGATAAATAAGGGGAGAAATATTTGGGGCTGCGGAACTTGAAAAATTGAAGCCCGCGGTACTCGAATTTTTACTGATGTGGACCCTTCGATCTTTTAAGGAGACCAAATAACGTATTAGAATCAAATCAATGAAGGGATTAGAAATCCGTTATTCCATCTCATATTATTTTTCTAATATTTGTAATCACTCGACGAAGGTTTTAAAACCCGTCGTTATTATATGCACATTAATGACGGTTAACTGGTCTCTTTACTAATTTTGGTCGTTAAATACCGGATTTCTTGTAGTGTATCTTCTCTTCTAGATCTCCGTAAAGAAACGCCGTCTTCACGTCTAACTGCTCGAGATGAAGATCTTCAATTGCTACAATACTCGTCACTGTCCTGATAGTATTTAGCTTTATCACGGGAGCGAAAATATCGGTGTAGTCAATTCATTCCTTCTGCTGGAATCCTTTGACAACTAGCCGAGCTTTATATCTTCTGGAGCCGTCTTACTCCTCTTTCACCCGGTACACCCATTTGTTGTGGAGTGCCTTCTTCTCCGTAGGCAACTCAGCTAGTTCCCACGTCTGGTTTGAGATGAGAGACTTCATCTCATTTTTCATGACAAGCTCCCACTTGCTCGCATCTCCACTCTGACAAGCTTCATCAAAGCTTTCAGACTTCCCACCATCTATCAGCAACAGATAGTTCATATATCTCCTGTTGGGTACAGGAGGACGGGAAGATCTTCTTAATATTGGAACTGGTGCGTCGGGCTCCTGCGCACCTTCTTGTCCAACAGGCTTTTCTGGCTGAGGACTCTCTGCATTGGGTTCTTTCGAGAGGTTACCTGGGACAACATCTGCATCTATAAATGTTGACTTGCTCTCTGAGTCATCAGTCTTGTGCATGTCCTTGTACATCACCTTCTCGTTGAATATCACATCTATGTTCCTGATCACCTTCTTGTTTTCGTTGTCCCAAATGAGGTAGCCGAACTCATCTTCACCATAGCCGATGAAAGTACATTTCTTTGACTTGGGATCAAGCTTATTCCTGCATTGATCACTAATATGCACGTAAGTTACACAACCGAAAACTTTAAGATGTGAGAGTTTTACCTTATTCCCGCACCATACCTCCTCTGGTATTCTGTGCTCCAATGGAACCGATGGACCTCGGTTGATCAAGTAAGCTGTTGTGTTGACCGTTTTTACCCAGAACTGCTTCGGTAGGCCTGACTGTACCCGAATGCTTCTGGCTCTCTCTGTCAACGTTCGGTTCATCCGCTTAGCTACACCATTTTGCTGAGGCGTACCGGACATGGTTCTCTTCATTCTGATCCCGTGCTCATAGCAGAACTTCTTGAATCTCGTGTCTTCATACTCACCGCCATTGTCGGTCCTGAGCTTCTTTATTCTCAGACCGGTCTTATTCTCGACCATAGCTTTCCATCTCCTGAAAGCTTCAAACACTTCTGACTTATGCTTCAGAAAGTAGACCCACGCTTTCCGAGAGTGATCATCGATAAAAGTCACGAAGTAGTGTTTTCCACCAATGGATGCGGTGGTTGTTGGTCCCCACACATCTGAGTGAACGAGCTCTAGCTTCTCTTTCCTCGGGGTTCTGCCACTTGTCTGAAAGCTAATTCTGTTCTGCTTTCCAAGTATGCATTCTTCACACATATCTAAATCAACTGATTCTAGACCTGGGAGTTTTCCCATTATGTGCATGATTTTCATCTCCTTTTCACTCATATGACCGAGTCTCTGGTGCCACAGTTTTGAAGTCTCATTGTCTGCTACAACTGAGATCAAACAACGTGCACCTGCTGTCATATACAAGGTACCAGTCTTTCTGCCTCAGGTAATCGTCATTGCGTCCTTTGAAATCTTTCAATCATCTCCATGGAAGGTCGTAGTGTATCATTCGCCAGCCAACTGGCCTACGGATATTAAGTTCTTTCTCAGGTCGAGAATATGTCTGACATCCTTCAGCTCCCATACTGACTCGTTCAACTTAATTTTTACTACACCTTTGCCCACAATAGCACACGGTTGATCATCACCAAGATATACGTATCCAAGATTTCCGGGAACATACTTATCGAAGAATTCTTTCTGAGAAGTAGCATGGAACGACGTTCCTGAATCTAACACCCAAGATTCCTCCTTGCTCTCCAAAGAGCATATCAATGCGTCGTCTAAAATTGCAATGAAAAGAACAAAGAAAATTGACTTGTATTCCTTTGATTCCGATTACAATTTGATTATAAAAGAGAGGAGAACGAAATTGGTTCTTCCTCTTTGTTTAAAACAGGGTTCTTCACGGTGGCGATGGAGTGCCTCCCTCGAATGCTTGCGTCGAGTTTGCTCTCCGTTGACGATCCGCACGTCTTGATTCACTGGAACGATGTCTTCTCCTCACGATTTGACATTGTGGAGAACTTGCGTGGCAAGTTTAAAACTCTTGATGAGTTGATAACTCTGATCGAGTTTGAACTCTTGAAAAAGAGTTGATTTGAACCGAAAGTTCGGTTGATAAGCCAAGGATCAAAGCTCTCTGTTGTCGAAGTTGAAGTTAATCTTCGTTGGAGGATGATGCCGATCCCCTCAAAAGCTCGCCTAAGGATCTCTCATGTTGCTGTCAATTCTTAGCTCCAAAAAGTCAGCCTTCAATGGTCGATTCAAGCCAATAAAAATCGAACCCTGAACTCAGTTGAGTTTACTTGCTTTTATAGGGGATTAAGGGGGTGTAACTGCCCTCTAAATCCGCTTGAACTCAGTTGAGTTTACTTGCTTTTATAGGGGATTAAGGGGGTGTAACTGCCCTCTAAATCCGCTCCTAAGTGGGCGTGATTTCCTCAGATCGTGGGGAAAACGGTTCTGAAACCGTTCGACTCATATTTGAATGAGTCAAACGCCCAACATGGCGTTCAGGACCCTAACCTCGCGTTTTAGACTGGAGACGCGGAGTTGGGTACCCGCTGGGCATTCAGAAAATGCGAGGGTCGACCCTGGCGTTTTGATGTTATAACGCGGGTTCGACCATGACGTTTTGATCTTGTAACGCGAGTTCAACCCTGGCGTTTTGATCTTGTAACGCGAGTTCGACCCTGGCGTTTTGATCTTGTAACGCGAGTTCGACCCTAGCCTTTTGATGTTGTAACGCGGGTTTGACCCTGGCGTTTTGATCTTGACACACGGGTTCGACTCCAGCGTTTTACTGTTGATATATGGGGGGTACCTCCGCGTTTTGGTGTTGATACACGGAGAGGACCTCCGCGTTTTGGTCTTGGAGCGCGATGATGAGTTCCGCGTCTTGCTTTGAAGAGATTATCAGCAAGTAATCTCTTTTGTCACAGCGTTGCAAAGATCATTGTTTTGTAATCTTCGTCTTAGCTCCTTGAGAATATGAGAGTTGTCAGATTGTAACTCCCGATGTTGATTGTGAAGGCTGTTGATTAGAGCTTCCATCAGTTGTCATGGAGGTCGTCAGATTGTAACCTTCACCGATCTACGTGAAAGTCTTCAAATTGTAACCTTCTGAAAGTCGTCAGATTGTAACTTCCTTCATCGGTGTTTTGATGGGGGATAAGCTATCTATTGTGATTTTTAGACAACCTACAGTCTCCTCCTGAGGTGGAAGTGACATTCACATCTGCCTTCGTCTCCTTCTCCTTCTGAGCACTCTTGCACTGATTCTTGTAATGCCCGATCTTTCCACAATTCCAACAGTCGATAGCCTTCGAGATGTTGTTTGGATTCCTTGACTTGGACTTCATGTCCTTTGATCTACCTCTGTAGTTTGATTTGCCTCGTCTGTTCCCTCTGGTTGAATTTCTATCTCTTGACTCCGTATGCAATACTGAAGAGGTTGTAGCTTCACCCGACTCTCTCCGTCGGATCTCCTCACTGAGAACCAGATCACGAACGTCGTCGAACTTCAATTTGGTACTTCCCGACGAGCTACTCATAGCTGTGACTGTAGCGTTCTAACTCTCTGGTAGGGAAGACAAAAATATCAATGCCCGAACATCCTCATCAAACTCAATTTTAACTGAACTCAATTGGGTTGTGATCGTGTTGTTCATTGAGGTGTTGTGTTACTGACGCGCCTTTCGCCATTCTCAGATTGAATAACCATCGCATCAGATGAACTTTGTTTGCGGCTGATGGCTTCTCATACATATTTGAGAGTGCTGCCATAAGACTCGCTGTGGTCTTCTACTTCGCTATGTTGAACGTAACATTGCGAGTCAACGTCAATCTGATAACTCCGAGGGCTTGTCTGTCTAGAAGGTTCCACTCATCTGCCTTCATAGAGTCTGGCTTCTTTCCCGATAGTGGTTGATACAAATTTTTCTGATACATATAATCCTCTATCTGTATTTTCCAGAATCCGAAATCTGTTCCATCAAACTTCTCAAGTCTCATTTTTTTCTTCATCTGCGGCCATGACTCCCACTTGAATCTGACTTCCTCTAGATCGTTTCACGCTCTGATACCAGTTGTTGGTAATTTATCCGTCGGGGCTACGTAAAACCCCTAAAACAGCAGAAACGTAGAATAGAAAAAATACAACAAGATTTAACGAGGTTCGGCAACTGCCTACGTCCTCGGGAGCCACACAGTAAATTTCTTATTTAATCTAACAAGAAATTACAATTCAAGAGTGAATCTCAAACTTGAGATTCCTCAATAATAACAATCGTTACTGTAGCTACAGTACGATTCATTTTCTTCTTAAATACCCCTCTTAACTTCTTTCCCCCTTTCTTTAACTTCCTTCTTAATGTCTCCCCTCAAAATTACGATTGAGAGCTGGAGATGAAAAACAGAACAGAGAGAGGGAGAAAAAGGGGATCCGCCGCCAAAGGGATTTCTGAGATCGCGAGAGAGGAGCAGCAATCTCGGCCTTTTATAGGGAAACCCTAGATGAGCTGTCGACAGTCTGTCGACAGCCTGGAAATCCTCCACGAGCTCGCCTGTCACGAGCGCCTCGACCCCGCCTGCTAGCTACGAGCCCGCCTATGAGTCAATCTCGTCTGCAGCTGCGAGGAATTCGCCTGCACGAGAAATCGCCAGCCACGAGAAGTCGCCTGCACGAAGAACTCGCCTGCTCGAGAGCTTCGCCTGCATCTGGTCGCCGACAACCTCGCCTGAAAAATGTCGCCTGCAAGGTTTGATCTCCACACTCGACTCAACAATTTAGCCACTGCAACATTTTCTTGCTAATGTAGGAGTCGACGGAGTTTGAGAACTCATGAATTCTTATCTTTTGCACAGCCTGATCCTTGGAGGCCCGATGTGAGACCGACAGGTTACTGTGTATTAGTTTAAATCAGCATTTAATGCAGATGAAATTAGCTGTGTAGATTAGTTTGCTCTGAGAAATTCTTATCTAGATCACACGAAGATATCTAACTTGATAGTTTCATTTCCTTTCCTTTCGGAATTTTCTCACTCTGGACTTTTAGTCATCCATCCAGAAGCGTACAGAGTCTTGAGCCTTGTCAGTCAAAGCAGTGCTTATGACCGTGCTTATTATATTCAAAAGCTTCTACCAACTGCTAAGAACTTGAGATTATTTTCGCATCACAATCTTGGTTTTATAGATTCTTCCTGATCATGAGATAAACGAGTGAATGAGAGTAGGAAATGGAAGTCATAAGTCGGTCAATTGGCTTACTTACCAGCCTAAGAAAGAGAAATGTGGACAGCATTTTAATTCATTTAATTTATAATTTATTTAGTAAAGTAGGTGAAGAAAATTCCTATCATGCAGTTGCCTGTTTCACCTGGAGGGACCCATGACCTATAGGTTGTAACATCACCAGCAAGCATGCTGTAGACCGTAAGATTGTCTCTTTTGCAGAAGACTGACTTCTTGCCCCCAATTAATGCTGTTTTTTCTGGCTCAGTGGATCAATTGATTTACTAATTGAATGAAGAAAAATTCTAGACTAACAAAGTTGGAGAATTAGGAAAAGCCTTGAATTACAGAGTATTTTCCTGTTGTTATCTTCGAAATGAGTGATCACAACTAGCCATTTTAGCTCCAGTTATTACTAAACCATAAGAAAGTCATGCTGTAGACTGCAAGATTGTCTTTTGCAGAAGAGTGACTTCTTGCCCCCAAATGCTGTTTTTTTCAGGCTCAGTGTATCAATTGGTTTAGTAATCGAATGAAGAAAAATTCTAGACTAAAAAAGTTGGAGAATTACGAAAAGCCTCGAATTACAGAGTATTTTCCTGTTGTTATCTTCGAAATGAGTGATCACAACTGGCCATTTTAGCTCCGGTTATTACTGGCTTTTTAATAACTGCGTGCTGGAATCCCAACCGGCATTTCAGTTTGATCCTTTGCGATGTATCCACTTACATGTTGATCTCGGGAAGTATTCTCAAATCAATCATTATGAAACTACATACATTGAGTTTGTAAAGAAAATGCGGTCTTGGTGGTTTGCAGAATCAATATCAAGCCAATCTCATAAACGGGGGCACACAATCTCAGCTGTCGTGCTGAGTGTAGTCCTGGCGATACTAATACTTGCCTGTATTATTTTCTATACATTGAGGAATAAGAAAAGAAGTAGAGGTATGACGGCACCTTGTATCTCGTAGTTAACATGAATACACTTCCATAAAAAATTGAATATGGAAACAGCTCCTGATCACATCATTGTTATAAATGGTTAGTTTGTAAATATGAAAAATTAATAATTAAAATAATTCTAGGTACTTCTGTTAATGAAAATGCTGAAGAAAGTACTAGAGAAGATAGCATGGAGCTGCCTCTGTTTCATTTTGATAACATAGAGAGAGCAACCAACAATTTCTCCGATGATAATAAGATTGGAGAAGGTGGATTTGGTCCTGTTTACAAGGTACAAATCTACTAATTCATTAATTTGGTTCCTCGACCTTGGAAATTTGGAATCTTCTAGTGACTGAGTCCGAAAGAGAAAAGAAGTAACAGTCATACTTGGTTCTAGGATATATATATTTTTGAATTCTAGTATTGTTGTTTGTTGAAACAATAGGGAAAGTTGGGACATGAAATAGCTGTAAAGAGACTCTCGAAGGCTTCCGTACAAGGTCTGGAAGAGCTAAAGGCTGAGATAGCGCTAGCGGCAAAGCTTCAGCATCGAAATCTGGTTAGGCTTCTGGGATGTTGCACTCAAGGGGATGAAAGGATGTTAGTCTACGAGTACATGCCAAACAAGAGTTTAGATGCCTTCCTGTTTGGTAATTTGTTTCTCCTCTTTGTTTCTTCATTATGATGCTATTTTCATTATTATTTACTGTCACAAAATACTCCTTAATCATCATATCATGATCTTGCATCAGCTTGTCTGAATAACTGTTAAAAGTTCAAGTTAATTCTCAGCAAGTTTCAACTTTTCTTTTAGTTAAGTTTTCTTTCTTTTTCTTTCGGAATTTCTCTTATTAATTAAGCTCTACGCAGTTAGTATTGATCTAATTAGTGATGGTTTCATGAATACACATATTGAAACCATTTGTAATCATTCATGGGAATAATTAATGCATGATAGCTAAAGACAAGACGAATTAAGAACTGAAATTTGATTGATGTTAACGAACAATAGACTTCAATGTCTCTCCTAAGCCAAGAAATAATTTGCACAAAATAAATGCAATGATCTATAACCATATGTCCAATATGTCTTGAACTGAAAACTTACGTGCAGGTAGTATGCATATCTACTTTCGTTCATCGATAGATTTTCCACATTTGTTAACAACATTCAGATTCTATTAATAATTGTTTATGTCCTTGGTTTGAGTAGCAACAAACAACATTACAGATGATGTGATCACCTTAAAGTTGTGTATTCTAACTGAAATCGTAATTACACAAATATTGTCTCCTTTATTTTTAATATGAACAATTCTAATAAGTATCAACTCTCAAATATTTTGGTCAGACGGAAAAAAGCAGATGTCTCTGGATTGGGAAAGACGGTACAACATCATTCTGGGAATTGCTCGAGAACTTCTCTATGTTCATCAAGATTCTAGATTCCAAATTATTCATAGGGATCTTAAAGCAAGCAACATTCTCCATGACAACGAGATGAACCCTAAAATTTCGGACTTTGGCTTGGCTAGAGCTTTCGGCGGAGAAGAAACAAAAATAACGACTAAAAGAATAGTTTTTTTGGTCAATGAAAAAATTATATTCATTAAACCATTTTGTAAAGTTATTGTTATGGTAATCTACTGTTTATCAACAAAAATTATAGAAGATTGTCCCCACAGGCCTAATGGAGTCGCAATTCAAATCGACCCTTCCAAAAAGCCTAGCCAGAAGCCTAACGCTTTAGACGACACGAAGCATGGAGGCAGTCAGTCTTTCACCTTTGAGGCGACCCCTCAGGAGTCTATCCTACTCCCCACTCGAGACGACTCCCCCAAGGGTGACTCGGCTGTTTACCGAGCTATCTGACTGGACTGACGACTCACTTGTCTAGTCTACAAGTTACGAAAACAACCCGCTTTCCAACTCAATCCTGCTGGGGAAGATAAGGATTCGAGTCATCCGATTGAGCTATTTCCAAGATATACATCAACCACAGTATTGACCAGTCACATCAAAAGTCTCAAAGCCTGACGAAGTCTTAAATGCAAAGGCGGCCCATTCTATTCCCAAGTCACTTCGGGGACGTAATCGAGGCATCCTCTGAACTCAGACGACCTTTCCTCCGGTCGCCAGCTGACATCTGTAAAGCAATAAGCGGCTAGATCGGTCAACCTGTCCTCTCTTCATCCTTTTCTGTCAAACCCGGGACATTATCGAGGCACCCTCTGTATTCAATGCCTCGCCCTCCAATTGCTTGCCGCCATCTATGAAGATAAGGACGACCCGGCGCCTCGCCGTATTCTCGGCCATACGTCATCTAATCGATCCTAGGGGCCTTATTAAGACCATCTCGAGATAATGTCTCCTCCAGTCGTCAGCCTACACGTAAAAGGATTACTGCTGACTAAGCCTCCAGCTCATCCTCCACCATCGCCCTCAGACCCCTGACAAAGCCACGTGGCTATGCTTAACAGCCTATAAAAGGGGGGATGGGGAAGAAAGAAAAAGAAGGAGAAAAAGAGGTTCGGAAAAAACTAAAACTCGAAGAGATTCTTTTTCCTCAAGTTTTTTACTAAATAAATTCTAAGAAGGGAATGTACCCTGCATGGACCTCAATGGCCCAGGGACTCTCCCCAAAACCTCCCTCAAACTCATCCTCTAACTTGACCGTCGGAGGTACCACGGGGAAATTTCGGACTTTGGCTTGGCTAGAGCTTTCGGCGGAGAAGAAACAAAAATAACGACTAAAAGAATAGTTTTTTTGGTCAATGAAAAAATTATATTCATTAAACCATTTTGTAAAGTTATTGTTATGGTAATCTACTGTTTATCAACAAAAATTATAGAAGATTGTCCCCACAGGCCTAATGGAGTCGCAATTCAAATCGACCCTTCCAAAAAGCCTAGCCAGAAGCCTAACGCTTTAGACGACACGAAGCATGGAGGCAGTCAGTCTTTCACCTTTGAGGCGACCCCTCAGGAGTCCATCCTACTCCCCACTTAAGACGACTCCCCCAAGGGCGACTCGGCTATTTCCCGAGCTATCTGACTGGACTGACGACTCACTTGTCTAGTCTACAAGTTACGAAAACAACCCGCTTTCCAACTCAATCCTGCTGGGGAAGATAAGGATCTGAGTCATCCGATTGAGCTATTTCCAAGATATACATCAACCACAGTATTGACCAGTCACATCAAAAGTCTCAAAGCCTGACGAAGTCTTAAATGCAAAGGCGGCCCATTCTATTCCCAAGTCACTTCGGGGACGTAATCGAGGCATCCTCTGAACTCAGACGACCTTTCCTCCGGTCGCCAGCTGACATCTGTAAAGCAATAAGCGGCTAGATCGGTCAACCTGTCCTCTCTTCATCCTTTTCTGTCAAACCCGGGACATTATCGAGGCACCCTCTGTATTCAATGCCTCGCCCTCCAATTGCTTGCCGCCATCTATGAAGATAAGGACGACCCGGCGCCTCGCCGTATTCTCGGCCATACGTCATCTAATCGATCCTAGGGGCCTTATTAAGACCATCTCGAGATAATGTCTCCTCCAGTCGTCAGCCTACACGTAAAAGGATTACTGCTGACTAAGCCTCCAGCTCATCCTCCACCATCGCCCTCAGACCCCTGACAAAGCCACGTGGCTATGCTTAACAGCCTATAAAAGGGGGGATGGGGAAGAAAGAAAAAGAAGGAGAAAAAGAGGTTCGGAAAAAACTAAAACTCGAAGAGATTCTTTTTCCTCAAGTTTTTTACTAAATAAATTCTAAGAAGGGAATGTACCCTGCATGGACCTTAATGGCCCAGGGACTCTCCCCAAAACCTCCCTCAAACTCATCCTCTAACTTAACCGTCGGAGGTACCACGGGGAAACACGCCCCGTACCCCGTCGTTCTAGATGTGTGCAGGTCATCATTCCACCCCGTACGCTTAGTGCTAGGCATAAAGTCGGAGGAGAAGCCGACACCTTTATCCTTCATCATCCACTCTCGACAGCCAACCTCATCTCCACCGACTGTTTGTTTACGAGCATCAACAGTCTGACACCCACCGTGGGGTCTGCTTTCTTTTCTGAGAAGAAATGTCCAACCCTGAGTAGGGGCCTGATCTTGTTTATCCTTGAAGCGTTATAGAGATCGCACCTTTCAAGCTAAACAAAGCCTGAAATCGCATCCTTCATGCTAAGGAGGAATAGCCCATGGCTATGAGGAGCCAATGTGGGTGAAGCCCTTGGGGGCTCCAACAGCTTTCGGGGGAGTCATTACCAACAGATACCCCGAAAGTCCTCCTGGAAAAGACACGCCGCTATGGCGTGTCTAGCTTAAGGATGAAGCACATGCTTCATACCGCCGCCACAGACGAAAACCCCACCGCCTGGACAACCAATAGGCCTGGGGTTGGATCGCAAGCCGAACCCCAAGGGTTATGATTAGATCCAGCATCACTCTAGCTCCCACCAATAGTAGCTCAGCTGAGCTCAGGAGCAGTGATCAAGTCTGTGGCCGGCTCTTCGGACCATCGTCGCCTCTAGGGGAGAGTTCTTCCTCCACTCAGGGTGAGATTGTGGGGAAGATGGAAGGGCTCGCCATCTGGTCTTCTAAGGAAGATTAACAGCCCCAGCCCCGGCAAGCGCACAAAACCGCCAGAGTCAGAGTAAGACCTGGTGGTCGAAGCATGTACCTTGCACTTCCCCGACGAGAAGGCTCCTCCTCATATGGATGGTCCGGCCGTTGTTGTTCCTGGAGACACTAAGGGAAACCATGATCCCATCAAATTTTAGGGAACAAAGCTTCGGCATATGGGGGTCTTACCAACAAGAAGCCCCCATCACAAAAGTTGCATGGGCTCTCTCCGTTGAGCTACATCTTCCAAAAAGCTCAAACAACGGAATATCGACCATAACATCGCAACCGACGGTGGACAAATAATATCTGCTGAAAATCCTTATATCCACCATCGACCAGCAAGGACGTCAGCAAAAACTCCGAGTTCAGAAAGGTCCTTAGCTGATGAGATGACGAATGTGCCAGCTACTCGGCGACAACCAAAGCCAGACGGCTCGCCCTCAAGAGGAAGTATAGTACCCAACTCTGGGCACTCCTTAGTTTGGCAATAAAGATGGCCGATAAGGTAACAACCTGCTTTAGTCAAAACAGCAAGGTCTACAGGCAAAAAGAAAACAGCCAAGGAAGCTCAGCCTCGGTGCCCATGTCCTCAACTGAAGGATATCCTCGAAAGGCACCTAAACCAAAAGCAAGAGTTCGACACAGTCCGAGCACTAAGGACGAATGAGATGTAACCTAATGTATAGATCTCAAACAATCAATAAAAATAAACAAAAAAAATTTCTTTCTCAAAGTCCTTGGCACTTCCTAAAGAGTAAGACCAAGGCATGGCGACCGCTCGGTCGGATTTTTCTCAAAGTCCTTGGCACTTCCTAAAGAGTAAGACCAAGGCATGGCGACCCCTCGGTCGAATTCTCCAAAGCCCTAGTCAACTCTCATGAATCCTAGGCGCGGCGGCCCCTCGGTTGATTTCAAAGTCCTTGGCTCTTATCGAGAAGAAAAGCCCAAGGCACAACGACTCCTCAGTCGGTTACAAGACCTCGGCGCCACCTCAGGGTAGGCCCAACACTCGACGACTT